TTCTGGGCTTTGTGTAGGCAGTTAATTTTGTATGAATTTGCTATTTTTAACTCTGTTATTTGTTGCTATTTGCTATTTTTAACTAATTGAAAAAGCTTACTTCACGGGGGAGATTTTGATAGCAGCAAATTTCAAGAAAAACGAGTTGCTGCATATAATTTTCAGCTGTTGGATTTAATTTCGGCTGTTCGGCTTCACAGCACCACTCCCTTGGCAACGAGAAGAGACGCCCACGAGTTCGTATCTTACCGGAATATGTACGTTAGTTTTCGCAGTTAAAGACAGGCTGACTCCGGCAAGTAACAGCTGAAAATGAGTCCCCTTTAACAAGTATTGCTTCTACTGCCACGGTACTACTCAATACAAGCTAACTCACAATCATACATTAACTCAAGTCGTAGATTGAGATGTTTAAATTGCAAACTGTGGGAACAAGAAACAGACAGGGGCACCCAACGAGAATATAGTTCAAAACCACTTAAATATAGCATTGTTAAACGTATTTCAGTATTTAAACGGTAGCTATAGGCATATTTTTATCCCCTAAAAATTCTTCATTTGTTCGGATTTCCTAGATGAAAGTTTAGTGATCCGAAAATTACAGGGATCAAAACTTACCTTTTCGAAAATTTCAGCCAGAAAAAGGGCTCCCGAAAATTCTAGGTGACCTTTCTAGGGTAACGCATTTAGAAATTTTTGTTCCATGAAGTGATCGTCAAAATTCGCGCGAAAATTCGAAAACAATAGGAGAATCATACTATAATAATAAATCGATTAGCAGAAAAAGCTGAAAGCAAGTTTTATTGAAATTATTCTGTTAGACCAAGGAGAAATCAAAGAATGCTCGTTTCCTTTTTAATAAAATTAAATAACAGTAAAAAAATATCAGTTTAAATTTTAGGCCACGTCTTTGAAATTGACAGTTAACATGGCCCCTTACGCTACGGACTGAAACAGCGAAATGATATTTTCTAATTGCCGCTTGTTAAATAAGGAAAATATAAAATAAACTGCGATCCCGAAAGTGAAAGGTATTCAGATACGTGCCAGCTTTGGGCAAGAAAAATGCTGCTGTGGACTTCCTCTTTTGCTATTTTTATGAGGTTAATTTTAATCGTTGATAAATGATTACAGAATGCAACCGCTTTTTCTCTGTTTAAACTGTTCACAGTGATATACTTAGGAAAGCTGACAATAAAAGGATGAAATGTTTTCAGTTTAGTTCATAAAGTTGTTATAAGTTCTGAAGTCCAATCTCCGGAGGGTGTAATTTTTCTCAATCTTCAACATCTGTCACCGTGAGCACTGCTTCTGGTTCCCGGTTCTTTTTTCTCACCGGTCTTTCTAGCTCGAGTGGTTTTTGTTTCTTTTTCTTCTTGATTCCTGCATTATTTTAGGCTTCTAGAAAAGCATGAAGTGTTAGATAGTACAACGGTAAGGGCTATTTCCGGTCTAGCCAGAATGAGACGAATCTTTTTGCGCTGTAGCTATAGTTGAAACTTGATGTTTTGCTTCCAAGTCACTAGAAAGTGTGTTCATTTCTCGTTGTTCACCTGTTTCACCAGGTCTAAAGGCAAGCTTCCATTGACACCTCAGTAATCTTTTGTATGCTTGACGGAACTCAGCTATCCTAAAACAATAAATCCACGGGTTCATAGATGAATTGGTCAACGCAAGTGTTCTTGCCCAATTGTAAGGAGCGCCAAAGTTTTCTTCAGCGAATGCGGAGCGCAGGTACAATATAGGAAACCAGCAAATCGTGAAAATAACAACAACGATCGCTATAGTGATTGTCACACGACGCTCAGCTTCTGCTGCTGCACCTCTTCCAGTTTGATTGCGAAAAAGTCGAGTCGTGTAGCCGTG